CATAAAAGAGGGTTTTTTCTTAAACTACATGAAAAGTATCAAATATCATCTGCCTTTCTTCTGTTTAAACTGTGATATAGCAGCATAGTTCTGTGATATGTGGCAAATTGTTCAGTAAATGTAATGGTTGAGTTTTTAAAATACTTTCTATTATGCAGACACAAAACTATTATGCAGACACAAAACACTATTTCCTCACAGGGTCCAGATAAGTGGGGTGTATTGCATATGGATTGCCACAAATTCCTAGTGCTTTTTTTTTTTTTTGGTATATTAATGTTGTATGTTAACTACAGGCTTTGCTTAAATAAATGTTTGTGTACATTTTTTCTTTTATAATACTGAATATGTTTCATGCTGTTTGACAGGAATGAGAGAGGCTGCATTTGAGCCTTCCTAAACAAGTCTGTACAGAATAGACTGTTCATCCTTTTGGAAGTGTATTACTAGTAAAATTATGTACAAGCTGCCACTATTTATGAATGTAGTAAAACATTTATTTTCTTTGACAGCATGGCTATCTTAAAATGGAAAAAAAGTGTATTACAAGCTTACAACGTGAGGCAAGTGTGTGTTTTCATTAACAGAGTAATAATCACTGTCTGATCATTGGACTACACCAGAAATGGGCTACCTGATCCATTTCTTTCTGTAGGGAGAATTTTACCTAATGTTTCTCTTGCTTTTTGTAGAGCTTTTGTAATTTTTTTTCTTATTTTACTAAATTTGATTCTTCTGGGAAATGCTTCTAGACCAGTAGTTTTCAAACTGGGGGTTGTGACCCAGCAGTGGGTCACACAATGTTAGTTACTGGGTCACCTTAGTGTAGGTGACCCTGTGACTAGTGTAAGAGTGGCTAAGACAGGCTTCCTGCTTGTCATGGCATTACAGACCACGCTGCATCCCAGAAGCAGCCAGTAGCTGGTCTGGTTCCAAGGCATGGAGACCATAGGCCGTCATGCACTGCTCCCACCCCAGGCACTGGCTCCATAATCTCATTGGCCAATTCCCAGCCAATGGGAGCTAGTAGGAGGGTCTGTGCCTGCAGGCAAGAGCAGCATGAAAAACTGGCTCCACCTAGGAGCCAGACCTGCTGCTGGCCACTTCTGGAGCACAGCATGATCTGCGGTGCCACGAGAAATAGGAAGCCTGTCTTATCACCCTACTCTGCCGCTGACCAGGAGCCTCTGGAGAGTGAGCCCATGCCCAGCCATGAGCACCTACCCCCACCCTGAATTCCCCCTCTTCCCCACAATTGAGCACCATTCTGTACCACATAAGATCCCTCATTCTTGCTGCCGCCACAGAGCATCTTGTCAAAAGATAAAATTATGTTGGGTCATGAGCATCAACAACTTTCTTCAACTGGGTGGCAAGAAAAGTTTGAAAATCACTAGACAAGTAAAAATTTCTGTCAATGCTCTTTCCATGTTTACTTATGAACAATTAAGTATACAGTAGAAGGGAACACGTTGCTAAAGGTTCGAACAGGGGTCCCATAAGTTTGGAAAGGACCAGATTTAGGTCCCACTAGGGGACGGGCTGGCGGATGTGTGGATAGAGTCTGTCTACCCCTTGCAGAAACCTGTTGACCATTGGGTTAGCAAACAGAGTTTTCCCTCCTTCCCCCCAGTGGAAGGCCAACATGGCCGCCAAGTGAACCTTGATGGAGGAGGAAGAGAGGTCCTGGAGCCTGAGGTCTAACAGGTAATCCAGGGTCAAGGGGATTGCAACTCACCTTGGGTGTACCCCCTTCTGCGCAGCCCAGCTACAGAACCGTTTCCACTTAGCTAGGTGTGTGGTCCTAATGGAGGGCTTCCTGCTACGCAGTAGGACTTCCTGGGCCCATTCTGAGCACTGAAGTTCCGCGGCCATTACCCACGGAGCTTCCATGCTGTCAAATGCAGCGAGTGCAGGTCCAGGTGGCGGAGCCTGCCTAAGTCCTGGGTAATGTGGGAGAAAAATCAAATAACTCCAATTGTGTCTAAAGGGGGGAACTGTGCAGAAATCATAACTTTCTAAAAGAAAACTGCTGTAAGGGTTAAAAGTTTTCCAGACCTCTCTCCCTGTAACAGAGAGAAATCAAATTAGCTCTAATCAAGACCCTTACAATGCCTCCCATCTCAAGTTCATGGAGACTCCTAGTCTGTCACAATTTGTCATGTAAACCCTTATCTTTGTCACAGTTTGCCTTGTAGACTCCTCCACTCAAGTTCTCATGTGGCTTTGTGTACTGTAAAAACTTACTTCTAGCACTCCTGGGGTGAACAGAAGTCTCAGAGTACTTCTGCTGAGACTTTGATATGTTAAAGAAGAACAATCCACAACTGAGCTGTCTAAGCATTCTGTATAAAGGATACCTGAATCTGTCTGTCAGGGCTGCTGCTTCACTCTTGGAAGTGACAGCCTGCATGCATGCATCATAAAGTTTTCTCTTTTAGGTTTCTCTCCTGCCTCACTGATTTGACCTCCGGCCTCGAACCCTTCTGGGGGCTCTGTACCCCAGGGGAGCGAGATTTCCCCCTCAGTAATCAGGTCTGGGAGCAGCGGGAGGGACATGGGTCATGCGCGTGTTTCATTCGCGGCTTGAACGCCTTGCAGATCTTGCAGTGCTTGTGGCACTTTTTGCAGGAGTTGCCGTGGCGGGGAACAGCAACGAAAACAACAAAGAAGCCTTTAACTTAACTGCAGGTACTTAAGCTAACTGAAGAGACAGAACAATACTGAAGACAACTATCTCTAGAAGCCCTGAGGGTTGTTCCAACAACCGTCATGGCGGTAAGAAGGAACAGAGTGGGCGAGGGGGCCAGCAGGGGTATATATGGGCCGATATACCGGTGCCACTCTGAGGGAGGGTCTTTGCTGGCCCTAACAGTATTTCTGAGGGGAAAAACTTCCGACGACACGTGCACACTGTGTACACACACCTAATTGGAATGCACATGAGCAATCACTCAAAGAAGCAGAAATTCCACCCCAGTCAGTTTTGGCTGAGAGCCCATGGAAGGCTCCTAAACGCAACTACAGGCTTCTCTCCTGGACTACGGTGCCACAACACATTTGACCAGCGCTCAAGAGCAGGAACAGGGTTTCTCCTCCTCCCCAAGGAATCACTCCTCAGACGCAATCAGCTGAGGGCTCCCAGGGCCGATTGCACCCCGCTCCCCAGCCACTACCCCTGTCCCTGCCCGGCTTCTGCATGCAACCAGAGGCTCCCAGCCCTCATGGCCCCATCTCCCAGCCTGGGACTCCCTCTGGTTGTGTGCAGAAGCCTGGTGGGAGCGGGGGGAGTGTCTGGGACTCCTAGCCACTCCCCCTGCCCGGCTTCTGCACGCAACCACAGGCTTCCAGCTGGGAGGCGGGGTCATGATGGGCACTGGGAGCCTCTGTTTGCATGCAGAAGCCTGGCAGGGGAAGTGGTTGGGACTTCCCCGCCCCCGCTAGGCTTTTGCACCCTACAACAGGCTCCCAGCGCTGATTGCGGCCCTGCCTCCCAGCCACCCCCCTGCCAGGCTTCCATCCGGTGCCCAGCTGGAAAAAACAGAAAATACTGGACATTGCACATGTATTTTCTGAATTTTTTTTTACCAGAGGGTGCAAAAACTGGACTGTCTGGTAGAATACTGGACACCTGGTAACCCTACTGGCGAGTAATGGTATCAGGAGGGAGGGTGTAGCACAGCCAGTCACAGTATGAGGAAGGCATCCCCTAGTGACACCTATCCAATGCCCGCTGAGGTGTTGCGAAAAGGTCAATGGTGGGTTACAGCTTTATTACTTTGATGCAGAGGGATCATGATCTTGCTCTCCTTTGGTTATGAAAAAGATGTAGGCAATGTAGTCTTTAAGGGATGTTAGATATCAGGTAATTGAATAGTCATGTAACCACATTAATTCTTATGTTACTTGACTATATGATAGTCCATGGGGGCAGGGCTGGCAGTTAGTACAATCCTGTCCCACTTCCAGGGAGCCCCCTGCCACCCCACACTGCTGCCTCTGTGTCAGAGGCAGTAGCGTGGAGTGCCAGGCGGGGAGCCAGTCTACAACGGGAGCCAGTTTAAAAAACATCTCACGATGCAGACCAGCTGCCCGCCGCCCCGTGCCGCCGCCGCCTCTGATATACAGGCATCAGCATGGGGTGGCAGCAGCACTGCTCTGTGAAGTGCCCCATGGACAGAGACCGCTGCAGGGAGGGGAAAAAGCAGCCTCTTTCTATAGCAAGCTTGGGCCCACTGCGGACAGAGAGTCTGGTCCAGCAGCAGCCTCTGTCCATGGGGAGGTCTGTATCAGAGGCAGCAGTACAGGGCGGTATGCAGCCAGTCTGCACAGGGAGCTGTTTTTTAACAACATACCTTTGTGGGCTCTATAGTATGGCTCATGTAGTTGCTATGCAATAGTGTTTGTAGGTATCTATTTCTTAATCCATATCAAGTACTTTTCCCCTGCCTTCTTTCCATATCCTATTTGATGTATTACCATATTAATGTAAGTCTCAATTTTTAGGAATGGAACAGTGAGAACAAAAGAAACAGTTTTTCATTTTTGCTTTAAATGGTTTTTAAAACATTGGCATCTACACATCTCCAACTGAATGTTTATACAGTATACCTGTCTTATAAGGTGTCTCTCCTAGTAGCATTCACATCTGCCAGGTGGGTATCCAAACTCAGGGCGCTTACTCGGATCCTCCCTACACAAACCTTTTCAAAGATAAGGTTAGGCTCCTCCCCCAAGCAGATTTTCTGCCAAAGGTGGTGTCTTCTTTCCACACCTCCCAGGATATTTTCCTGCCGGTCTTTTATCCCAAGCCGCACGCGTCCGGGAAAGAACAGGCTTTACATACTCTAGATGTGTGCAGGGCATTAGCCTTTTATTTAGACAGGACAAAACCATTCAGGAAGTCACTGCAACTCATTGTGGCCATTGCTGAACGGGTGAGGGGCCAACCCATGTTCTCTCAGTGGATCTCCTCCTGCATAACTGCTTGTATCAGGGAGTGCTATGCCCTAGCAGGCATAGCGGCTCCACCCCTTAGAGCGCACTCCACGAGAGCAGTGGCAGCTTCCACCGCTTTCATGGCACAGGTCCATTCTGGACATCTGCAGAGCCGTGACGTGGTCCTCTGTCCATACCTTCGCCAATCACTATACGCTAACACATCAAGCCTGGGAAGACGCTGTCCTGGGCAGGGCGGTCCTCCATTCCTCTATAGCTTTAACATCCGGTCCTCCTCCATAGGTTCTACTTTGGAGTCACCTAATTGGAATGCACAATCACTCGAAGAAGAAAGAACAGTTACTTACATCATAATTATGATTCTTTCAGATGTGTTGCTCATCTCCATTCCAAATACCCACCCGCTGCCCTCTCTCTGGAGTGTTCCAGCAAGAAGGAACTGAATCGGTGAGAGGGCCAGCAGGGTATATATGGGCTGATATACTGGCGCCACTCCAGGGGGGCTCCCCGCTGACCCTATGGGTACTGCTGAGGGAAAAACTTCCGATGACATGTACATGCTGCACACACGCACCTAATTGGAATGGACATAAGCAATACATCTCGAAAAATCACAGTTACGAGGTAAGTAACCGTTCTTTCTTCCCACTGTGACACCCAAAGACCTGGCTATGGGGGAGTCACCTTCTTACCCCTGGTCACGCCCCCCCCCCCTGTCATTGTGTTGCCTCGGGGTCTGCTTTTCTGCTTTGGGTAGCAGGCTCTGCTGTTTCCCTCTCTGTTCCCAGCTTGGTGGCTCTTGGTAGTAGCCACACAGGATGTGTGTTCGGTTTTTTTTCTTTTTGCTCAACACACTTTTAGCCTGTGTGTTCGGTATTTTTGGGAGACCATCTGGCAACCCTACTTGCCAGAATAATTCAAAAGGCTTGGTCAGATGGAACCAGATTAATCTTAATAACCCGTCTGGCCAAGAGAACCATGGTACCCCCTTCCTACTCAGAATGGCAGTCTGTATACCTATCTCACTCCTGCTCCAGCATCACCTCATCATTCTGGGCCAGAGTGAAAACCTTATCCCAACTTACACAAGCTACGCCTGGGCTCCTTAATTTATGTAAAACTAGAAATCACAGGGGGTATGGCTACACTGCACCGTAACTCGAAATAAAATACGCAATTTGTGCTAAGCAAATGATGCATCTTATTTTGATGCTATTTTGACATTTTTTAAATAAAGTGATATTCCAAAAATGTCCCTTACTCCTTGCGGGCTGAGGTTTACAGGGACGTGGGAGGAGGGTTACCAGGTAGATTTATGGGGTGGTGGGGGCCAGCATGGCTGGCCACGGGCAATGGGGGACAGGAGGTGGGGTTGGTCAAACTTTTTTTATGATGCATCTTATTTTGATGCTATTTTGACATTTTTTAAATAAAGTGATATTCCAAAAATGTCCCTTACTCCTTGCGGGCTGAGGTTTACAGGGACGTGGGAGGAGGGTTACCAGGTAGATTTATGGGGTGGTGGGGGCCAGCATGGCTGGCCACGGGCAATGGGGGACAGGAGGTGGGGTTGGCAGGAGGGGGCAGCGCGGCTGGCCAGGAGAGATGGGGGCAGGAGGAGAACCAGCCGGCAGGAAGCAGGGGTGGGCGGGAAAGGTCGGGGCAGGGGGGGGGGCTGACCCGGGGACGGGC